GTTGACGCTAGGCCTAATTTTTCAGACGAAGCAATAATGTCTACATTATCTAAACAAAGCTACAGTATAGTTATGCTTAAGCAACAGAACTTAACACTAAGTCATTTAGCTTTATGAATCCAATGGTTGTCTATAATATATATAATTATTCAAACAAACCATAAAACTCTGAGGAGAACTAATGCATCTTAGCCCCGCTATTTAAGACCTTAAATTCTCATTTGGAGACGTACGCTACAAGGTCAAATTATCTACAAACGAATTATGTGCATACCAAGACCCACCGATATTTTCCTAAGCTATCGTTTGTTAATCACAAAAAGTAATTAAGCCGACTTTGAATGCAAGAAGGTCCCATTGAAATTCAAATGAAGCGGTCCTGAATTGATGGTGGGCTCAAATGTTTGAACTATTCATCAACGGCCTTGCTTTAGACATAAACCAAAACGCCTCCGCCGCTCTTTGTAGACGATCATAACCGCGGGATTGTGTCTGGAGACAGACTTTTGGATATAGACATACATCTGGTCTATGATCAAGGGACAGACAATTCGTGGGGTAGAAAGAATTCAGAAAAAGTGTCATATGAAAAGAATCCATTATGATCTCTTTATTGCACTGATTCCAGCTAGCTATAAATATCATTCGTATGTGACAACAATGTCCAAAGTATATAACACAACGTTGTTTGCATAGTATGAAGATGAAGGTTAATTTTTTACTGTGCCCGTTAATAGTTTAAGTCAATTGTCACATTGGTTTTAGCGAAGAAAGTTTTCTAAGGCAGAGAATATATTCCTTGCATTATACAGTATACTTATTCTTTTTTCTAGACAGGTGGACATTCAGTTTAAGGTAGGAACCGAATCACTAATACACAATATTATTACATTAAGTCCGTTAATGATTTAAACCTACAATACACTTAAACGCTCTAGCCATTGAAACAACCATACCCATAGCTTGTAGTGAAGTGCATTTAATACGGTTTTTACTAACCAAAATTATTTGATTAGAGTTTCTTTGGTTAACAGTTAAGTTTCAAATGGTCAATGGCATTTATGAGTCCAGCCAAAAGAGTTTAAGATCGAAAAATATGAGATAGCTCAAAACAATTTTTCACCCAGTAATAAAATTGTTTTGTTCTTCAACTTGAATGATTGGGTTTTTATGAATAGACTATTTTAGGCTTATAGGCTTAAATGAACGCATTTTAGTAGGTAAAACCATTGAAATAAACAGTACATACTTTCTGTTTTCTTCTTGAACTTAAAAAGTCAGCAAATCAAATATCACCTGTTTGGAAAGAAGCCAAAGCCTCCGTCTGGTATGTCATGATCATGATCAGCAATCACGCAATCAATTCTCCTCAGTTGTAACAACATTTCTCTAGCTAGACAATCGACATCGCTAACGCCAGGTTGAGCCAAAATAGAAGACATGTTCGACCTACTTATGTCTAGAAACAAGCAACATCATATAACGAACAATGCATTACGATTAAGACAGATACAATGGGTGATGACAAATCTGGAATGAAAAAATTCTACATGATGCATGGCTAAACTTGTCAGGATGCAAATTCAAAGACAACGGTTCTTACAAAACATCACAAATTTACCTAGAGTCTCATTTGAATTACGAGGGATAAAACCTAATTAGGTGTGGCTAATTGAATTTGCCTTTATTTACCCCTGAACTAAATTAAACACGCCATACAAAAATGAAGTGTAAGACAGAAAGAGTTGTGTCTCTATCTTTATTATTTGACACAACGTGGAAGATGTATATGCGTTTAGAATTATTCATTTCTGAAAATAGAGGTTGTTGAGCCTAGTTCCATGTTTAGTGCTTCTTCTTTGATCGCTTTTCTTCGCTGCTAAACTATATGATGCACTCCATTCATTTTATTACCGTTACGAAAATATAGATGGAGCCTTGTCTTGCCATTAACCTTAATGATAAAACAGGTAATCTAGCAATCGATCTATCTCTCACTTGCAAACTGCATCCTACAATAACAGTGTTGAGTAATACAAATGGATCGAAATTACAACAAAATTTGCTTCAAGAACCAGATAATATCTGGAACGATTTGGCTAAGTAGTTGAATTACTTGACGTCGCTTCAAACCGGTTTATAATTCCTAAGTGTCATGTACGTATCGCATCCTCGGGGTTGGAGCAAAAACCACACCGTTACTTTGTTGCCTCAAGAAACCCATAGGAAGGTCGTGTCAGGTGAATTCCTCTGAGTGCGTAGTCACTTCCGGTTGTTGGTGCACCTGTTTCCGGCAATTACGTGTGCAGGAATACCACCCCTCTCAATGTCTCCTACGACTTGTGTTGGGAAAATCTACAGGTAGATCGGTCAAAGCAAACGGATAATTGTATCTTAATTCATATAAATTCCTATCTGCATTTCATCCTAAGTGATCTTCCATCTTCTAAATTATTCCACGCGTCCATTGCGTTCAAACGGTATACAAATCGCAATTCCAATGCGAGTACATTTCATTTGTCTCGTATCAACGGGCAAGATCGCATTAGGGTCTGTCGCTCTGCCATAGTCACGGATTCCTCGGTGTATGCAAACGTCGAAGAACAAACTGATGTTTTATTCAGCAGCGATGGTAGGCTGCCTGGGATTCAAATTGGCCGTCAACATTTTGAATTCAATAACCACTAGAGCTCCCGCGGCTGTTTCTTACTAGTTGTAAAATATCTGATGCGTAAAGATAGGCCTAACTTGCTTCTGGTTACGAAACTTCTGGGAATTCAGTGGTTAGACCATTCGATGAGAGGGATTTGATGGCTGGTTCGGAGTAGCTCGAAAACTTGTCAATGGCATTTAAATACAGGGTTATGAAGTAAGGAAGAGAATCACTGCTATCAAAGCTTCATAAAAAGACGTGCTATGTAATAATATTAACTTTCCTTCTACTCAGAGAAAATAATATTTTTTTAGTTTTAGGTTTTTGATTTAGACCGCTTTTAAGTTCACCCAACAAACCATTATGTGATACCATTTGTATTGCAATGTCTACGGACATATTCTGCAATTAAAACTTCAACACGTATCCTACTTGCAAGTTAAAATCACATAGGAGTTTCTCATAGTGTACAGTAAAACCATTACAAAATATCATACAACTTGGGTGATAAGTGATTTTTCACAACAAACGACTCTCACAGTTAGTCTTGTTAGTTGATTGGCCTAAAATGAAAGACCTCCAACTCCAACTAAGGGTAATTCTGGCTAATACCAGCGTCGGTGTGGCAAAGCTATCGGCTGATTGGTCCTGAAAGACCGTAGTTACCGCCAATACACTACTACGGAAACGACAGAGAAAGACTGAACTAATTGACCGAGAAGAAACTCAACAAATAAGTTTTCAGAATAGTACCAGTCAAGAAGGATGATTGGCTGAACAAGAGAACTATCCTGATTCTGTAAATTCCGTACCTCAAAGTGATAAAATTTCCAGGCAGGTTTAGTCAATATGGTTTCAAAGGGCATGCAACTTTATTTGCTCTTGATATCTTTGAAGTCAGTGAAAAGCTGCCTGAAATGCTTCCTCGGTCGAGCACAGATACAGGAATTGTTTTACTGAGTGAAACTCTGAAGAACCTTAATGTATCCAGAGATTATACCATTTCACCAGATCGTGTTTATAAGGCACTTGATTGGCTAATTGTAAATAACCCACTATATAAGGATGTAATAGTCAATCGATTTATAAATGATTAATTAATCATGCACGCACATTAAAACCAAAAAGTATAAAATAATTTATAAATAAAAAACTTTTTTAAACAAAACATTTTTAAACGCCCTAAAAAGTAGAAAATAATTTACAAATAATTTATAAATATGTTGAGAGAGTATAAATACTTGTACGATTTAAAACGAAAAACGTTGGGTGCATGCAATTAATTGATAATAATACATTAGTTCAGTAGGTGAAGGTAAACTATCTATTGCATGCACCCCACGTTTTTCGTTTTAAATCGTACAAGTATTTATACTCTCTCAACATATTTATAAATTATTTGTAAATTATTTTCTACTTTTTAGGGCGTTTAAAAATGTTTTGTTTAAAAAAGTTTTTTATTTATAAATTATTAAAATTAGTTTTAATAGCGTGTCTTCGTGTTATTCTGAACCTATTGCAGGATTACACTAGTGCTAAGTGTAGACAAAAAACAGAAAAGATTGCCAAAGTGGACTTTATGGTTGAATTTATGCTTACTCACCTCATTTTTTTATCTTAGGGGGTGGTGCATTAGGTGTAAGAAATTGTTCTAAATGTGTATGTTCTAGATTCTCCTCATAGGTATTGAGAAATATTTTTCAACTGAGTTCAAACGTTAAGAGGAACGTTGAATATTCCCATAAACAATTTTGTGGGCAATCAAAGTACATCACTGCAAAATCTCCGTAGAGTTAAAATAGAGAAATTACGTTTATGGCCGTAATATGAAATACCAAGTCCAAGTACAAGTCTGGACAGCTGTAAGTTTATCCCACAACTTTGCCATAGACGGGAGAATGTTTTATCGATGACTTAACCGATCACGGTGTGAAGCTTACAACAAAGGACGAATTTTAGGAAAGGGTTTCGGGGTATAGTATAGTGAATTGTATAATTTACTTACCAAGGTTGAAAAGAAGAGTATAGGAAGCTCAGAAAAACCAACATATTCTGTGGAGTGTTCCATTGCTTGCGACCTTGGCCATAGTTCCGACATCAGAACGTGCTATGTTTGTATATTCCTACAACGTTGACTTGTTGGCCCCCTCTTGGCTTACCGGACAAGATAATGATTAAAAAGCTGCAAAGATTCCCTATACATACAGGAAGGTGTGTCGTAACTATAACAGTCCCAGGGAGGACCACAGTCAGACGTTGTCCATGTCGCTGCCTCCCCCGGACTCCTTTTCCCTCTGGCTGGCAAAATCTTGTACATCAGTTGTGATCACTATTGTTGTGTCTACAGGAAGGTGTGTCGTAACTATAACAGTCCCAGGGAGGACCACAGTCAGACGTTGTCCATGTCGCTGCCTCCCCCGGACTCCTTCCCTCTGGCTGGCAAGATCCTGTACATCAGTTGTGATCATTGTTGTTGTGTCTACAGGAAGGTGTGCCGCAACTGTAAGAGTCCCAGGGAGGACCACAGTCAGACATTGTCCATGTCGCTGCCTCCCCCGGACTCCTTCCCTCTGGCTGGCAAGATCCTGTACATCAGTTGTAATCGGTGTTGTTGTGTCTACAGGAAGGTGTGCCGCAACTGTAAGAGTCCCAGGGAGGACCACAGTCAGACGTTGTCCATGTCGCTGCCTCCCCCGGACTCCTTCCCTCTGGCTGGCAAGATCCTGTACATCAGTTGTAATCGGTGTTGTTGTGTCTACAGGAAGGTGTGCCGCAACTGTAAGAGTCCCAGGGAGGACCACAGTCAGACGTTGTCCATGTCGCTGCCTCCCCCGGACTCCTTCCCTCTGGCTGGCAAGATCCTGTACATCAGTTGTAATCGGTGTTGTTGTGTCTACAGGAAGGTGTGCCGCAACTGTAAGAGTCCCAGGGAGGACCACAGTCAGACGTTGTCCATGTCGCTGCCTCCCGCGGACTCCACCCCTCTGGCTGGCAAGGTTCTGTACATCAGTTGTAATCAGTGTTGTTGTGTCTACAGGAAGGTGTGCCGCAACTGTAAGAGTCCCAGGGAGGACCATAGTCAGACGTTGTCCATGTCGCTGCCTCCCCTGGACTCCGCCCCTCTGGCTGGCAAGATCCTGTACCTCAGTTGTAATCACTGTTGTTGTGTCTGCAGGAAGGTGTGCCGCAACTGTAAGAGTCCCAGGGAGGACCACAGTCAGACGTTGTCCATGTCGCTGCCTCCCCTGGACTCCGTCCCTCTGGCTGGCAAGGATCTGTACCTCAGTTGTAATCACTGTTGTTGTGTCTACAGGAAGGTGTGCCGCAACTGTAAGAGTCCCAGGGAGGACCACAGTCAGACGTTGTCCATGTCGCTGCCTCTCCCGGACTCCGCCCCTCTGGCTGGCAAGGTTCTGTACCTCAGTTGTAATCAGTGTTGTTGTGTCTACAGGAAGGTGTGCCGCAACTGTAAGAGTCCCAGGGAGGACCACAGTCAGACGTTGTCCATGTCGCTGCCTCCCCTGGACTCCGCCCCACTGGCAGGCAAGGTTCTCGACCCTCAGCGACATTCACACTCTGACGACGACTCTGGCTGCGCCCTCGAGGAGTACACCTGGGTTCCTCCTGGTCTTCGACCTGATCAGGTAGGAATCACGATAAGTGTATTTAATGCTTTAGTTTTTATTTTAAAGCTAAATTATCCAACCGAAGTAAACGCCAATGGTATGTGATAAAGGAACCTCCACCAGTTACCATCACGGGTAATGAGTTGGTCCATTTCCTCGCCAAGTACCTCATGGCTCAGTTTATACTTTTGGCTCTTCCCCAAATCGCTTTCATCCATCAACAGTATGGAGTACTATCGACTTAAGGCTTAAACGAAGACCATTTGAGCTCGCCGTTCGCTTAAAATCGTCTTTCAACTGTTTTGTAATGAGATACTTAACTACTTGCCTGGGCCTGCGCGTTACTCATCTGCGAAGAGGGTCGCATAACGGAGGTTTTATAGTTCTAGTTAATGATGCTGCTGTGACCTTTATCTCGGCCTGATCAAGTTTACATTACGTTTTAAGGACAAACTAAGATTGGACATTTAAAAATCAGGTAATGAGTTGATCTAGAGAAAATATTGAGATATAATTTCAGGTTTATTATTGCTCCGCCTTAAAAGCTTGTTACAATAAAAACAATAGATACCGGTACCTTATGCTGGCTTGAAACAGCTCTTAAAGTGAAGTTTTACCCATTATAGAAAAGTATTCACACATCCCGATTTGAATCGCACCAAACGCTAAACACCTTTATCTAAAATAGCCTCCAGTAATTTGGAGCCCACCTATAGACTAGTTAAAGGCTAGTAGTAGTATAGACTAGTTAAAGACTAGTAGTAGTATAGACTATAGACATCCCAAGAACAAAACAACCTGCGCAGAAACGAAAAGATCACGTGTTTCGCGCCGGTAGACGTGGCGTACCCTTCAAACCTGCTCGGCTCGAAATGGCCCAGGGTTCTTTTCTTTCTGGGATGTCTATAGTTAAAGGCCCTTCTAGCAAGAAACCAAAAAGACCACCCTGCTGAACAGAACTTTTCTTTATTGTATAACTTTTTCCAAAGCTATACCATGAAAACCCATCCAACGACTTTCAATGTGAAACATCATCTACAGATTATTTTACCAACTTTTCTTTAATTAGAGAGATTCGACTAGCTTTGATGTGTGAGCTAGCTGTAACCCTATCACACTTATAGCTGAACTTTGATAACTACTTTAAATACACCTCGCACTATCGAGCATCTGTTGAAATCTCGGATCATTTGTGGTTTCCGGATGTATTACGGGCCGGATCAATGTTCCTGTAACGGCACCTGTCCGGTAAATAATTTACGGGGAATGTTCATTCGGTTTCAATTTTGGTGATAGCCGGTAATGAAGGGGTTAAAGCCTAGAGGGGTCCGCGGTGGAAGTTATCTCTCAATCACACCTTTGGCGAACAGCTGAGTTATGGTGCGAGAAGTTGAACATGTGTTATGTTCAATCTTGGCGTTGTGTGATTTAGGTAGGAGAGGGCTTGGTAACTTGGAGGTGGTATTTGAGCAATACTTTACTTGTTAATATTAATTTTAGTTAGAGGTTGACGGTTCCTAAAAGAAAAATATCGCTACAGCTTGTAGCCAATTATTATCTGAAGAGAAATTAGTTGTATGAGCCACTCATAGGTACCACTGTTGGAGATATAACACGAGTTTCTTAGGTCATATTGATGTTACAGTTAACAAAAATGTCCCTTTAACTAGTCACAATAAAACGTTTAGAGTCAATTCAACAAAGTTTTAATACCAATTGACAAAAAACAAGCATACATTGAAAGTTGTATATAATATAAGCTAATGGTTTACCTCTAAAAAATTAACAAAAAAAAAAAAAACAGATTATCTATTGCTTTATTACTAAATTCTAATTGGGATTTTTGCCTTTACTCTTAAACAACAACGAAAATGATAAATTTACATTGTGATTAATCTGTTGGAAAAGTTAATAAGATTATACACTTTAATAACTATGCAAAAAAGAATTTAAAAAGTTATGACATTTTCGTATTGCACAAAGACAAATCATTCAAATTAAATAAAAGCAAACTTTTAAGTTTAAAAGCAAACGTGAACATAACATAAGCCAAGTAGTTTTGCTTAATTCACCGTCAATTGATAAGCCGAACTGAAGTTGTACAAACAATTCATTATAACCATTGTATTTTTATAGGAGTTTATTTACGATAAAATTGCAACAGAACATGACCTCTCGATTAAATACATTCAATATAATACCTCACAGTACTTGAAATTCAACTCCGACGTGGCTACCCCTCTAAATAAAATCTTCTTCCGCAATTCATGGCGTTCTTCCGCGTTATATCCTTTCGTGGTAGAATTTTATTTTGAAAACGACAAATGTATGATGTTTCTCATCATATTCAACAATGTAAATATTACAAAACAAGAATGTTATTCTGCCACCGTGTTCGGATAAGGAGGGTCGGGGGTCTCTTGGGGGAGGTCCTATCTAAGCAAAGGAACGCGGCAGGGATGACAAATCTACGTCAACCCTTACATAAGTCAACACTAGTGGTGTAGATATTGTACACATTATACAATATAAATATATATACATATATATATTTTTTTGTCCTAAGGACGCTAGGCACGAGCCTGGGATTGTTTTTCACATTACTTCAGGCTAGACTTAGGGGTTGCGGCATTATCACTTAGATAAAATCCATTGGTGACTTGGCGGGGATCGAACCCGGGACCTCAGGGACTGAAGTCCCGTGCTCTAACCACTACGCCAGCTCGCTCCCCGTTATAAAATATATTGTAAGTGGTATAAGTAATAACCATAATAGGTAGGGAGTGAGAGAGCTAGGTCGAAAGTATTATTTCAAATATGGGTGGGCAAAATGGCAAAAGCATGTTATACTCGTAGTTTAGCCTGATTTTTAGACATTTAAAAAATAAATGTATGAACGTGTTGCAAAGAAGATCTCTAGAAGAAGTCTAACTATGCATCAATATTTTTGTCTGTTCGTGTGTTTTCATATTATAAATTACTTGTTCAACGCTTTTAATCGCTAGTGTCTTTCTAATATCCAATTCGCTGAAATAATATTTTGTCTTCAAAGACATAAGCTAATAGAACTTTTAGAAATAATCTTAATCGATGCCGAAAATCTAAGTCAGCCATTCTAAACATTAACCATTTTTGTAAACGGGTTCAAAACGTTTCAAATTACATGGTTAGAATAGTGCTAGGATATAAACATCAATGAGCTTATTGCGCAGTTTAATTTAGTTGTATAACAAACTAAATTATCTTAAAATTACAAATATTACAAATTATCAAGCTACTAACCCATAGTACACAAATTAATTTCTGTATTTTCTGTAAATTGGTTTTACCTAGTTGTTCCTCTTTATAACAACTGGATTTTCTTTAACTCTTACTTCCGTATTTTGACTAATAATTCGATATATCAAGGACGTATTGTAGCTTACTTTGGTGCTTTAAGAAGTATTTGACCTTCAATCTAAAAAGAATATATACATACAGTATCTTGAATCAAATATCGGTGCAGGCTCTTGGACTAAGAATTATTGCAATAAAATATCTATATACTAACAATCAACTAAAATTGCCAAATGTCTTTACTTTTGTTTATATATTATTAAAGTAATTTATTTTTGTTAGTTTGTTTTTATTACATCTCCGCTGAGAGACTTATTTTATTATTTGTATAAATAAACTAAGTCGGAACTACCATTTTACGTTATCAACTAGGTAAGACGATGTTTGATGGATTTGATTTTAATACAGTCAAGACCTCCAAGACAATCCCGTGTTGTAACTGTTACGCCAGCCGTGTTCCCATTATACAGGGAGGTAATAAATTATTGGACACATTTTAAGATTATATAAACAAAAAACCGAGCAACTTTAAACTTGTTTTTACAGGGGATTTGTTTAATTGAATAGAAAATTTAAAACAGTTTTATAGAGTAACTGCAGTTATATAAATGTCAGTAGTTATAAAAACTGGTTATTAAAAGTGTGCAAAAATCAATCAAACAGTGAATGTAAGCTATGTTCTTTTCTCAATGACTTGTGTTGTGGCATAGCCAGCATGGATAACGTGACAAAACCAACAATGGGCCTTTCTACACCAGCTGTGTATGACATTTGGTGAATCAAACCTTAAAATGACTTGATTTGAAAAAAAAATACTAGTGTGCAATAAAAAGCATAGTCTTTGGTTTCATGAAAGCAAATCTGTAATAACTGACCGAAGAAGGCTTCGTTTAGTGTATGGCCGTAATTTTCCGTGTAACAATTCTATAAAATGGTGGTACAGACAGTTCGAACGTCTGGGAAGTGTCCAACATATAGTCTAAAGGGTCCTTAGTTCAGAAGAACATAAATTAAAATAACAGTTTAGGTGTTAGTTTTTTATAACTAATCATCATAATTGCTGACATTTTTTAAATTATTTTTTTGCAGTTACTGTATAAAACAGTTTTAAATTTGCTATGTTACTTGGTTATTTATTTATTTTATCTTAAAATTTGTATTATTGTTTATGACCACAATAGTACAATAGTTTCCATTTCTACATAAGTCCACCAGTTATGGACCATATATCACGTAACGCGTCCCGTTAACAACGAACTACTCTCTGAAGCTCCCAAGACATGATGGTACCTAATTACCTCGTAGTAACCAGTCTCAACCACAACCAGTTGCGATCACCAACAACCAGCAACCAGCAACCAGCAACCAGCAACCAGCAACCAGTAACCAGCAACCAGCAACCAGCAACCAGCAACCAGCAACCAGCAACCAGCAACCAGCAACCAGCAACCAGCAACCAGCAACCAGCAACCAGCAACCAGCAACCAGCAACCAGCAACCAGCAACCAGCAACCAGCAACCAGCAACCAGCAACCAGCAACCAGCAACCAGCAACCAGCAACCAGCAACCAACAACCAGCAACCAGCAACCAGCAACCAGCAACCAGCAACCAGCAACCAGCAACCAGCAACCAGCAACCAGCAACCAGCAACCAGCAACCAGCAACCAGCAACCAGCAACC